GGCTTCTCGGTCCTTACGCAAGCTTTGCCCAATTTCCTTACATAACATTCTTCGTTTATGGCCAAACTCACGGTCACCCGGAGTAGACCGACGGGCTTCAATGAGTTGTAAGGAACCAGAAGAAACCCAGTGCTTAAAAGCGGGACGTTTCGCAAACCCACAACTGACTGTTCCCGCCATTTTCATGGCGTCATGCAATTGCAACCAATGCTCATCTATACTTTTCGGTGGAGTGGTAGCTAGCCTAGAGGCTAGCTCGGTTCGATACTTACTTGCAACAGAAGTTGCAACCAGCTTGCTAACATCAATCCGTTGATGGCGTTCACTTCGTTGTCCACTGAAAAGTAAGGCAAGATTGGCGCAGACCAAGGCATGGTCAGAGTCCAGATAGGTACTCCAAAAGGAGCGGCAGTCTTTTACACAACCACGCCGGCGGTAGCTGATCGCGATGTGATCAATCTGAGTCCAGGCTTGGGATGCAGAGGGAGGACGCCAGGTGGCACATCGGCGATGACTGTGCCGAAAGTTAGTGCTAGCCAGAAACAGGTTGTGGTCTGTGCATAGTTGCAGTAGACGGTCCCCGTTATCTGACCTGCGACCAACGAGTCCCCATCGGCCACCTAAACGACTCTCTTCTGTGCCTAGACGCCCGACCTGAGCATTCAAGTCTCCGGCTAGTACTACAATATCTGTCGAACGCACTTTCTGGAGAAGAACAGATAATTGGTGGTAAAACTCATCCTTGATTGCATCCGGGCTGCAATCTGTCGGGGCATAGGCGGAGATGACGAAAAGACATCGTTTCTCACGCCGATTTCTTCTCACTTTGATGGAACTTTCTAATCTAACAGCACATAACCGACTGTTAATGGGGATCCAATCGACTAGTGCTGCCTCAGCTCTAGCGCTTAGTGCGACACCAACGCCTGCAAGACCAGACGAAGATGCCACAGGGTCCCCGGATAAGCGCACGTAAAACAAGCTTTTTGAAGTGACAGATGTAGAGCGAATTTGTAGTACTTCGCTAGAGTCTTGAATACGGGTCTCGGATAGACAACAAACATCAATATTAAGACTTTCCAAAGACATAGCCAGCCCTATCTGTTGACCAACCTGCATAAGTGTGCGAACGTTGAAGGCAGCCAGTTTGAATGGCGCACGTGGTTTCAGAAAAACTGCTTCAGTACTCATATTTGATGGTAACATACAACTTTCAACCGGACAGTGACTCGAGAAAATTGCTACGCATGATTATTAATAAAGAGGAATTTAATTTTCTAAAACCTATGGGTTCCGAGTACCCTCATTTATATGGACTACCTAAAATCCACAAACTTAACGTTCTTTACGTCCAATTCTATCAATGTGCAGATCGCCTATACATAACCTGGCTAAATGGTTAAGAAAGTTGTTGGACCCTATTCGAAGACATCTATGTAAGTATTCTCTAAAGGATTCTTTTGAACTGGTCGATCATTTAGGTGATATTAATATTAAGGAAAAGACAATGTGTTCATTTGATGTGAATTCCTTGTTTACAAATGTACTTTTGAAAAAAACCATTGATGTATTGTGTGATTACATATCTGTAAACAATCTTAAATTATGTATCCCCTTAAAAATTCTTAAAGATTTATTGTTACTGTGTACTGACAAAGTTCAGTTCACTTTTGAAGGTGAATACTTTCGTCAGATTGATGGAGTTGCTATGGGTAGTCCGCTAGGACCATTATTAGCAGATGTGTTCATGGCACATGTTGAAAATCAGACTGATGACGTAATCGGAAACATGTCACTTAATAAAAGATATGTGGACGATATCTTAGTTGTTTGTGAGAGAAAAGAGGATAAGTATTGTTTATTAAATAAAATTAACACTCTCCAAAACCATATTAGTCTCTCATGTGAAGAGGAGAAGAACGATCAGCATCCCTTCCTAGATATACTTCGGAGTGGACGAGAAGATGGCTGAGTCAAGAGATCTATTTTTAGAAAACCAACGTGGACTGGTCAATATCTTAGTTATTATAGCTATTGCCCTGTGCAATACAAACGTGGTTTGATAAGGTGTCTTTTCAACAGGCTCCATCGTATTTGTACAAACGACGCCATTGATGATGATGTTAATTTGTTAAATAAAATGTTAATAGAAAATGGCTATCCTCTGAAATTCATAAATAGATGGAAAGTCCATGGTACAGCGAGACCTACTGTAGCCTTGGTAGAGAAAAAAGCCTGTCTACATCACCTTACCATTCAGAGGTGATTCAAATAGCCTTTTATTGAAACAAAGACTTAAATCAGTCATCAATAAAACCTATTGCTCAGCGAAGGTCTTTATCAAAGAAAGAACAAGGTGCATGCTTCATTCAAAACCTAAAGTACATGGAAACGATTGCGTCACATCCCACTGTGTTTACCAATTTAAATGTGTGTGGTCACACATACATAGGGAGGAGTAATCGTGATCTCAACATTAGGGTGAGTGAACATGTACCCAAATGGCTGCAGAAACAAATACAATCAAGTGACCCAATAAGAGCAGAGGATAAACATCCATCATCCTCTATTGCTAAACATATAATTGAAACAGGTCACAAGATTGATCTAAATTCAGCTTTTGTAGTGTTGTATAAAAGTGTAAAAGGGCGTATACTAAGGTTTATTGAAGCCTTAGCCATACGAAAATTCAAACCCCCTTTGTGTGTTCAAAAACAGTTTGTTCTTACCTTAAACCTACCCTGGTAATATTGACTTATTATCCAGAGTGATTAGGTTACGAATTGTGTTCACATTACTATTATTATTACTCTTATCATTATCCATATCTCCTCTTACCCCGTTTCCTGTCTAGTTGACCTTTTATTTTTTATATATAAATGTTCTTAACAAGTGTATGTGTGAGCAGATTGTTCGAAATGTATTGCGCTAATGTATCATATAGTTCTGATAATCTTCGTCTTCTAATTACATTATCGAAATTTATAAAAGGGACTAATTGTTTTAAAAATCTTAATCACCTCAGTTGAAGATTTACTACCTCATTAATTGACTTGCCATGCTTACCTAGTACCGTATGACCAACCTCGTGGTCGCTCACTCGGTGATCCCAAAATACACAAGCGACGCTTTGTAGACACTTATGATCGAATACTAGTAACTTACGAATATCCTCTATCGTTAACAACCATGTTTCACATTTACAAAGTAGAATGGAGAGAACTGTTGTGCAGTAAAGTCATCCTTTGGTGGGAAGACAGATATCTCGCCTACGCCACAAGTGACACAGGTTGACTGAATCCAATCGAGCGTTCTTAACCCCCGCCGAGGTTTCGTGGGACAACAGAGCATCAGGACTAATGAACATCCAAAGATAAATTAGGAGGTCGATACAGTAAATTACTTCACTCCCTATTCTCAACACAGGCAACTCCTGAAGCAAATTTTTGTATTTGGTGAGAGAGAATCGAATCTTCAACATGTTTGCATTGTTGCTTAAGGTATTCAGAGGACTACTTTTTCATGGTCTTCATTGAACAGAACTACGTCGTCTGTATATTCTAAATCAACAAGAGAATCTCCTGAAAGATCGATTCCCGATAAGTAAGCATGATCAGAGTTCAAATATTTGCTCCAAAACGGGTGGTAGTCTTTTATATAGCCTTTTCAACGATGGTTGATGGCAATGTAGTCTAGTTAATTTCACTGTTGGGTTGCTATGTCAGACAATATTTTCCTTTTTTGAAGTTAGTGGTTGCTAGAACTAAACGGTAATCTGAGGAAATTTGCAGCAGCTTGTTGCTATTAACTATCTGCTGGGTCAAGAAATACCAAAAGACCAATCTAAGTGCCTTTCATTTTGGTCTAGACTACCTGGTTGGACATGAAAGTCATCAACCATTATCATTATTACACTTGAGCGTTCAGCTTTTTGAAGGACGGTAAGCTTACATAAAATCAATTTCTTATTTCATCCCAACTGCAATCAGTGGGAGGGTAGGAAATTGCGTGTCTCCCTGTTTTTCAGACCTTTCACTGTCCTGTTTAGTCGTTCAGTACACACATGACTGTCTATTGAAAAATTTTACAACGGGTTGATTCTTTTCTATTCCCGACCTAAATGAGTTTCTGTTATTTTAAAATCCTCCGTTTGACTTTTTTCTGCTGTAAAGCATGGCAACTTGAACCGGTATTTTTAAAGGAAACTATATTGATTAGCGTTTGGCGATCATTTAACACTGAAAAACTACTATGTCATATCAGTTAAATAAATTAGGTTTAGCGATTGTCATTACAATGCAAAATTTTTGAAAATAGCATTATTTTAATGAACTTAAAATTAGTCGAAATAAGTAAGGAATATATATTCTAAAAGGCTATAAATTAAAAATTTAATGACTTATATGAGGATACGTAATTATAAGTGACTAGGACATATTGGTGATTACTATCCAGCTACCGCTTACTCAGATTTCAGGTCTACGGTAAGTTCTTTGGCAACAGGACAGCATTACACTGTCTACCGACGAACTCTTCTGAAGACTAAGAATTTACACAGAACTTAGTTCATGAACTCACTATTAATCACCTTTTCCCACCTAACAACGAGTACAAGCAGACAACTTTACAAAACGTATATCAGTTTTACATTGGTATGAACACAAAGAAAGTATTATTGCATGACCAGAAAACGAAACAGAAAGTAAATATGTAATTCAAAAACTATATACATGGATATGTATTAAGCTACAACCCACACTTGATGTATAATGATGGGCTTCACTAACTTCCTATCTAAACAAATTTAGGTAAACTGAATTCAGACTTTTGACCCAATAACTACAAGTTCATGTAGTCCAGTTAATGATTCATATTCTAACAGAAATACGATCAAAACAAACATCACATGATATAAAGTTTTGCATTTGATGATTTCACGAGGTATTAACAATATTAAGATATATGAACATGAATTAATTTGTGTAGAAAAAAACGCTTACTTAGAGTCAGAGAAACAACGATGTATTTCCTTATCTGCAGAATAGCAACCCTATTAAAAAAAGAAACATTAGAAATGCAAGTCATTCACTACCTAGAACCATACCTCAGCTGGGATTAAATCCTACTGATCGTAAGTCTATCAAGAAAATAAATGCATATAAGTCTTACACTGAATGTAATCAAGATGTAAAATCTGAGGTAATACCACCGGTAGTAACTGAGAAACCCAAGTGTCAACCAGTGAAGTTATGAGCCAGAAAATCTAAACACAGTTTATCTGCAGTTTAAAGCTAAGGCCAAAACTGCATTAGCTGAATGACCACAGAACAACGTAACGTTAGGAATACTTAGTTAGGTATCCATAGCAGGATGTACTTGTACAAGGCTTGGATAGCCAAAACTAAAAAATGTAGGAAAACGTTTGTTGGGCTTTTTGAGAAATAAAATTATCTTGCACATATCTTCATAAATTACAAGTTATCCATAAGAAAACCTCATTATCATCGTATTTCTATTATCAGAATAAATCCCAAGACAAGCTGAGGCAATACTTATTACAAACCTGGAAAATGATAAATATCGACTGAAGCTAGAGATCGATTGCAGAGACCGAATTGTAGAAGTGATGCCTTGAGAATGACAACATAATCTAATACATATGAACAAAATTTTACCCGTCAATGTAGTGTATTAATAACTACATTTTAATAAAACGATTTAGATTACTCACAAGTAGCCCGAAAAATATTGAAAAATAAAACCATGTGAGGAAATACTAGCTATGACAACGTATCGATAGTCACCTATCTTACCCTTTGAGATTGTATAAAAGCAGTGTATAGTAAACCATCATTCCCACCACAAAATAGATTTCCATTATTGTCAGGTGAAGGACAAAGGCTTAACAGCCCACCAGAAACGTTTGTGAGTAATGATCCAAGAACACAACCATCATACAAAGCATATATCTGCAAAAAGAAATAAGACCAATAATTATTCCAATTGTCTACCAAAAAGCATATGCTAAGCAGATATGCAGTGGATTAGAATGATAACTCAACGAGTCGTCATGATTTTAGGTGCAGATACTTTTGAAACTTATTAACAGTCGGTTTCCTTATTAGTCTTATTTAGTGTAGATTGAACTCTTCATGATAAAAAGTATATGACACGACTTCAAATCAAGCAAACACGGTTTTAAAGGTTGGCATAATTCTGGTTGGTAATAAGCATCGGCAATTTTCACAGGTGTGCTACCTGACATCCTCCCTCTGCATTTCAAACCTGGACTCAGACTAATCACATCGCAATCAGCTACCATTGATGCGGGTATGTACAACACTGCCGCTCCTCTTGGATTACTTATCTGGGCTCTGGTCATGCTCTTGTTAATCTTATCTCACGTTTCAGTGGCCAACAAATCTACAGCCCTAAACGGATGGATGTCAGCGAATTGGTTACAGTTTCTGTTGCGACTAAATATCAAACCGGGCTAGGTTCAAAGCTAACTATCAACCCACCTAAAAGTATAGATATGCACTGGCTGCCCATGCATGTCATTATGGAAACGACGAGTACAGTTGCTTACAGCTTCGCGAAACTTTCCGCTTATAAGTAATGGGTTTCTGCAGGCTCCTTAAAATTTATTGAGGGATGACAGTCTACTCCGGCTAACCGTGAGTTTGACGATAAACACAGGCTCTTACCTAATGAAGTTGTGCAACATTCGAGCAGCAGGGTTTCCAAACCTCATCACTCATCTTCGACTTTACCATCGATGACTCCCTAAAAACAGCCCCGATGGATGTAGGTAATGGTGGTGAGGATCTGTTGCGTGGAGAAAAACTTTCTGACCTTGAGTATCCTGATGACATTGTCTTACTGTGCGATGATACCCAAACTATCCAATCCACACTTAGTCAGTTGCCAATCAGTGTCCGTAGTTATGGCATTTGATTTGCACCTTCCAAGTCCAGAGTACTCTGACAAGACTAACAGGACTCGATGCCTACACTCACTCTTGGTAGTGAGCAGTTAGAAGTAGTTGAGAAGTCCGTGTATATGGGTAGTTGTGTAAGTGCTGGTGGTGACATGAGTAATGAGACCAATTCATCTATAGTAAAAGCCAGAGTGTCTTATACCAATCTAGGTCATGTTTGGCGCCTTTGTTATGTTAGCCTGGCTGTAAAAGTTCGGATTTACAACGCGTAGGTGAAAGCAGTTTTGCTATATGCTTGTGAAGCCTAGCCTCTCTGAGTTGATGTTGGACGACTCTGTGTTTGATCACCATTGTCTCTGAAGGGTTGGTGACATCGAGTGACAACACCATGCTAGTAATGAGGAGGTTCGAAAACATGTGTTCGGACACCATCTTGAAACACCGACTTTGGTGGCTCGGGCATATCCTACGAATGTCGTCCGATAAAATTTCACATCATGCATCATTTGCCGACACTGGGACTGTTTGAAAAAGCGGAGAGGTGGTCAGTAATGAAATAGTGTCATGGTATGAAAGAAAGCTGTGATGTTTTGGTCTTTTACCACTCCCTGGTTGGGGTCCTAGAGAAAGTCCAGGACAGTGGCTAGAGACTTTATCAGAAATGGCTGTAACTTTCTTCATAAAAGTGCTAGTCATTTCTTTAAATAAAAGAATTCTCTCTGGTTGCATTTTTCTCAACTGAACCGTTTCTCTCATTATTTCACTCCCATACACTAAGTCCTATTTATTTTATTTTTTTATTATTTTCACTTTCCTTTTTCCATCTCGTCACCTCATTTTTACTGTAAGGTGTACATATATTCTGGTGCCCCCTTGTATCAACGTTTGTGTTTAAAATAAATAAGTAAAGCTGGATTGACGGTCAAAACAAGCAGAATATTCTGACTTTATTCGTCAATAACGGAGGTTTCATAATCTAGAAATGTTTACTTTCTTGGAGTAACTTAAATTCGTAAACAAGTGTTTTTTTTGTACGTCAGTCCTAATTGACATCCAAACTGACAAACAAATCTAGAGCCAGTATTACGCTTTACGAAGAAAACGACACCTAATGACAGTGAAGTAGTAAAAATTGTCCGCAATGGAGCTGACCTCACTAATAAGGTGATACTTTTGACGTTGATGATTATGTAAGTAAATGTTAGCTTCCTCAACAAATGGGTGTCAATATCTTGGTTGCAAACACTGGTATTTCTGTGACTCGCCTGACGCATCATTGTGTTCATGGGACACTAATAAAACAGTTTGCTCCCCTCCGCTGCACAGCTACATGAAACTTCTGGTGACGAATGGAACACGTCATTGTTTGGATAAGTTCCTGCGTTATTAAGAGATAAATACCAACTTACCTTAAGACCTTGTGATCCACCCACGACAACTATATCATCCATAACTGCACATACAGGATGACTAGTACTTGCTTGAATAACATACCAGAGCGGAAGATGTTTGGCACTTGATAAATTGGCATTTGAATGAGACTCAACTTCAGTAGCACTCTGTGTACTCATCATGTTTAGTCCGTTGATAAGACTCCCCAAGGACCAACAAGCTAGAAACCCAGATATATCAGCGGAAATAAGAAACGCTGGCCCGTTTGAATTCCATTTGGACAGTTTCATTTCACATATTCTTGCAGAATGGGATCCTTCTAAAACACCCATAAGGCATCCACTCACAGTCTTAAAAAGTTATGGTTAGTGTGTTAACCTACCTGGTATACATAAATTTCCCTATCAAATGCAACGATAATATAATTTCCATCGAGAGTGAAAACAAAAGCACTAACTAATCCTTTCGTCAAAATATTTTTGTGCGCTGAGGTCTAGTAAATACATATAAACAAGAAAAGAATAGATTACAGCACTATTAAAATTCCAAGTCTGTATAATAGGTTTCCTGGCAGCTGCACAAGCTACACCTCCGAAGTACCCGGTGATAGACGATTTTGAAGCCATATCACCAGATAAACTAGCGACTGGGTTTCCCCCTAAAGGATCCCAAACAATTGCGGCATCGACCTGTTTTTCAGTTGTGGTAGTAACCAAAAGCGAATTCATAGCTCAGAATCTAATGAGCTTACACAAGAACAGTATTATTGAGGTCTGTAGAATAGAAATAAAAGAAGAATCTTATTATGATGTTTTCGGAGACATACAGAAACTAAGACTGGTATCACTAACTGGGTATTTTAACAGATAATCAAGTAATACGGTCACTTACACAGATGTACATAATTTATTTTCGTTACAGATTACACTAGATTACGTACTTATAAATAATAGTTCAAATGAACCTTGCACTCAATTTAAAAATCATATAGGTTGAAGAGGCTCCATGATCAATGACATTTCTTGAGAGCTAAGTGATAGTAACAGTAGTTGGTATGAAGGGCGAAAATCTAATTTAATGTGATCATATGTCAACCGATCACATTATTTCTTAATTCCAGTATTGTAAGTAGCACACTGGTAAATTTTGAGATATGGTAGTCGTAAGGACGTAAACCTTGCAGATTTAAAATATACCTTAGCAACTAAACGTAGAAATGAAATGCAGGAAATATGGCAAATGTATGCTGCTGACAACTGAGTGACTTATCAGATAGTGAATGTTTATTTATATGGAGATTTGTAGTGACAAGTAATAAATCTTGACGGATAAACAACTTTGAATTGATTGTTTTCAAGTTGAATTATTTGTTACAGTAAACGAGAAAAGGTTAGGGTTAACTACTAGTAGTTAAGCAAGAAGATAAGGTTGGGGTAATGTTAGGATTTCAGATTACAGTGAATAATATTTTCTAGACACACAAACACCCCTGACTATAAACTGAATTAAGGCTAAACAAGTAATTAGGATAGTCTACACCAGGAACATGTTTTTTGAGTAATTCTGCATATATGCCACATCAAAATTACTGTGTGGTGACACAACAGATATTTTTCAATTTTAAATATCATAAGAGATAAGTACGCAGTATGGAAGTTTAAATCTGAATAGACAGCATAAACGGTCACTGACTAAACAAATTAGTGAGGTGTTTTGGATCCGAAACACTGCCCTTAATTTGTTTTTGAGAATGAGTTGCAGTGGTGTACACCGTAACACGCCTAGTCTTGTCAATATATATGCGCTAGTTTAATCAAGTGTGAGCAACCTGCATACATAATCTTGTTACCCAACGTTAACAAATATCTTACATGTATGGTTCGAAGAGCATAAGCTGTGATATTTTTTAAACATTTCGATTATACATGCATATTAAATCAATGTGCTGAGCACTTTCAAAGCATAAAATTCGTTGAGACTGTAATTAATGGACAAAACAATGCAACTAAAGATAGCAAGTTCTGGATTTAGCGCGAAACTCACTTATCCAAGCAGTCAAGTAATTTTTTAAATTATAGCTGATATCGGTTCGTGATGAAGGCCCTTGCATTAGTTCCTAATTCCAAGTTCTAACAAGTTCCTCATACAAATTTGTAACTATCTTCTGACCTTAGTAAGTAGTCCCATATTAACGTCGCTAAATTGCCGACCATTAATATATATATATACATAGAGTCCTGTACTTTGCAAAGAAAAACATATGCGCTGAAATGGGTTTTGAGAACTCTAAAAATTTGTCCAGACCAGGAACCGGATTTGTTGAAGCCATAGTTTCTCCTCAAAATTGAACTATCGAATACCAAGCCACAACTACTTGATTTTCAAAATTAACAACATTCGCAAGGGCCGGTGCATACTCACAACAGTGCATCAAAATAAACAATATATTAGTCACAGTCAATGTATAGCACCTAAATATCTAAGGTATAGGACGTGTACCCAAAAAAAATCCTCTTAACTTAGTTTTGGGATCAGGAACCAGTTTTGCAAATATATCCAGAATTAACCTTGACTGTGCGCAATGTAGAAATAATAAGGCAGCGCTAAAATATTTCGCGGTACTCACGTTCTTGTTTTCTGATTTGTCCTTCCCAAGTCTGTAAAACCGCGTTTACCAATGCATGTGACAAAATACTAAAACAAGTTTCATTCGAAACTCTATCAGGTGATTAGAAATCCTGATAATCTCATACTAACTATCGCGATAAAGAGAAATGTGATTCTATCTTGAACAATATATGTTATATATGGAGTGGGAATGGATAGAATAACAACATTGTTGCACTTTCACTTTGGAAAGGAGAGAAGGTTAGATGGACCATGTTAGTCCTGAAAATTGTGGTTTCTTAGTTCATCCAACTTTCTTCCGAAAGCATAGACAGATGAAGCTTGAACTACGTGCTGAGTTAATGAATCAATTTCGTTGATGATTCGATAGGAAAGTCGATAGTCAGCTGACAAGTAATTTGATCTGGATTTGTAAAAATTTTTGAAATGTCCTCGTAAAGTCCCCGTTTCGGAAGACAAGCAAAGCGAAGGGATATCAAGTGCACATTTATCACTGAGTACTTTCAAAAATTTGATGAAGTCGCTTCTCTATATGATAATGGAGATAAGTTTAGTTAAGCGAGTAGAACGTGATAAGGGAGACTTACTATCCCAGGGATCGGTTTGTTTACGGTTTTTTTAACCTTATCCAACAGCTTGCTGTCTCTTTTTGGGCAGAGACTAGCCGTTTGTATACAGTACTCGAGTTTATGACGAACAAATATTGTATGCAAGATAGAAATAGTTTTAGCATCGACATGGCCAAAGACCACATGTATTAAAACATAAGGTTATAAAACCTTTGGCAGCTATCGCATCGCAGTGTGCAGTACATTTTAGGTCTTGGCTGACGATGAGTCTTAAGTCATTGTGTCTGGACAACAGGTAGCTTACGGTTATTCAGCATTCATGTATCTGTACCTTGGTGACCAATATGTATCGTACTGTACCTAAAAGCATTTGTTAGAATGTACCGAATTTTAGACCTGTCAGATAATTTCTTCGGGTCATTTTTAAGTCCTAAACTGTCACCTTTACACTTTATTGCTCTTCATATCTTGACATTGTCAGCATATAACAAAACCAACGGTGATAGGAAAGTCATTTACATGTAGGAGGGACAATACTGGTCCTCAAACTGTACCTCGATAACTTCAATTTCACCCATACTCCTTGTTGACGCTCAACTAGGAAGTACTTTATAAAAAGTAGTAAACTGCCTCCAACCCCGACATAACTTACATGACGGCTGGTTGTGAGAAACTGTCAGAAGCCTCGCTAATGTTAACATTGGCAGCATCTATAAGTTACTTCTGATCTTTAAGAGCATACAAGTTACTTATAAATTAGCGAGACATAAATAAAATTTTCTAAAGTCATGCTGCTTTTTGAAGAAATCCGGTTCTAGTCTGTATATTTAAACAACCCTTCCCGAATAATCTTTTCTAAACTCTTAACAATCAGGCTGATTAGGGTTACGGGTCGATAGCTCTCAAGTTTAATTCTCGCACCTGTTTTGAAGATAAGACTTACAATAACATTCTAAGCCTAATCATAATCGTCCCCCACCAGTGATGCAGTACTACTGTCTTCTCGAATTGCTGTAATATTTTCTCTTCTCTTAGTCCTTGGGTTTATGTATGAGTATACCTGTTCAGTGTATTCTATAGATTTCTTAACAAGTTTTTCTTTGTACAACCTTCTAGACTTACGGAAGGTCGCGGTACAAATATTTCGAGCTTCCCGATGTTGAGGTTTTCTCGTCGGTACCCAGTAACTTAAATCTCTACCATATTCTTTACCCCTTACAGAGATGGGTGTGAGCCTCTTTACTCAACCACTTCTGGGATTTTCCATAACCCCTCAATGTAGTCCAGAGGATTGCGGCGCCGTGACGTTTACGCACAAATTTCTGAATACTTCACGATCCGTTTCAACGTGGGGACTTTGGCTTCGTTGTTCAATTTACTGAGAATGCTGAGTGTGTAATATCTTGTAAAGTTGCCTTCCATACGTTTTGTCTGACTTAGGCTGACACATACTCGTTATTGGCGGTCATATGAAAATCGATGACTAGGGCTGTATGGTCACCTTTGCCTAGGGGTGGTATATAATGAAGGTCTGTAATGTCATCCTGATAGTCGTTCAACATGAAATCTGTTAAGGATGATTCAGAGTCCTGATAGCACCTAGTTGCTCCTTTCACGTGTTGCGCACACTGTGAGATCGTCGATGATTGTCGATGACATAGGTAGTCAGGTTTTTGTTCTGTCCTACTATAAACAAACCTAACTTTTCTATTAGGCTTTCTAGTCGTTTCCTGCTAGCTGCCATTCTGAGGCTGGTGGGTAGAAGAAACTTCTTTTGAACTTTCATTTCTAATAGACCACTTTATAGGCTGCCCTTCCTACGTTGGCTTATGTCAGTCAGTCTACTCTGAGCTTATGTGAGGTAACTTCACATTGACTTATGTACCGAACATGTGAGCACCATTTGGTGTGTCTCGGTTACGCCTGGTAATACTCCGTTTAGCAGCACTCACCATTGCAATGACTTTGGAGAACAAACTGTTAGTGTCCGAGCAGCATTGCTGACAAAACCGCACACAACTATTTTTAACGAACCGTTTAAAAGCCACATGTGTATGATTCGTGCGAACTTTGTGGTACCATCCTTTGTACTCATTGAACTGCATGACATTTTTCACAACGTATCGACAGCCTACGCGTTGCTAGTTGCTTTTTATGAACTGTAGAGTCATTAGTCAGAGATTTTTAAAGAGTAAACAATACCCAGAGACAAAAGAAACTGATGGGGAGGAAAAAGAAAAATATGTAAACCATTAGATCTCAAAGTGCAAACAAATACAAAAGAAACTAATGTACCCAGAAGTGCAGTTGATAAGTTGCTTTTGAAAAAAATCCATATTGTTGGTGATTATTTTGACTGAAATAAGCTCAATTAGGGCCTGTACAGTGGTCTTAGTGCGTAATAAACGATTAAAACAATAAAACTAGTCCAGTGAGGAAAAATACACCGTCCTTTTTAAACGACCCGAGAAAATGTCCAATGTTCAAACGGTTCAAATGTTTGTGTCTAGGGAAAAAGTTCATGGGCTGACTTCTTGGCTCACCTTCAGAAATGATCTAGAATATTCGTTTCACTTTAGAATGAAGGGGAAGGATCGATATTTTACTACTGTAAGAAAACTGGACTAAGTGATAAAAAAATTAAGTGAAGGTTTTCTTTGTCGAACTCGCCAAAAAATGAGCCTGAAGGTGATAGGTTCAAGGCTCACTCTCAAAACATTTCTAGCTCTGTTAGCGTACGGTCTCAAAATGTTATGGTGATAAAGGGTTTTTACTATGGAAAGTATAAAATCATGATGACGCCTAGACCTTTCTCAAGTTGTGAAGATCCTGAAAGCAAACTTTCGATCTGAATGTATTACTTAGAATCTCTTACATATGGGCTACGATTCACTTTTAAAAGCCTAAAGCAAGTTCATTTTTATCTGATCACCTTTGAAATCAAGTATGAACCTCATGAGATGTTGAGTTGCCACATTTGTTGAGTATTCTCTCCAGACTTACTATAATAAGTGGCAGTATTATCTCAGAGGAAACTTTATGAGTAAGACCATCCTTATGGATAAAAAGTGAGGATCCTGGTAAATGATTCAGTGAGACCTCATTAAGATATTCTGTAAGTTGATTAAATAAGTAACCCACCCTGATCTCAAACAGCTGGTTGTTCAACTATGAAAATAGCCAATCCATCATTAGTGACTTAATGCGCATCAACTTGAGTCTGATGACAGAGCTCATGCTACCACCCATTCCAGCGACCTTCGAGAAAATGAGAGATATTACGTCTAAAGTTCTCCTGATGTCTAAAATGAAAGTGCATCTATTCATCGCAGCCAGTAGATTGGTGTTTCATAGTGGCCATTTGCAAAACTGAGGCGCCCGGGTGAAAGCAACTTTGTGGATATTATGTACCATGTAGGGGTTCATGAACCATGGAGTCAAATAATTTTGAGACCATTGAAAGAAATGTTATAGCCCGGTGATTTTGCGGATTATTGTTCAACCCTCCGTTGGAGGTCAAGTTTAGGTATGTCACTTACACAGCTCTGGGACCAAGCCTTAGTCTTGGGGATGTGAAACTAGTAAACCGAGTGTTTTTGTAAGTAGAGAGGCCTCTTCTGTCAGTATATTGTCTGATTAAGGAAATATGTTCTTCCTTGACTTCTGCACTTTGTGACGAACTAATTCAGTATTTAGATTTACTATTGAAATTACTTCTGCTCTACTTTTAGTTCAAGCAATTTATTCATTTCTTCGGGTAGAATTGGGACGTTGACATGTGCGAAAATGATATTTCCACTGCCAAACATATATATTTCTTTTGGCTCCTCATCAGCTCTAGTTTTATGTAAATGAACAAGAAGTCTACTTACTCAAGGCCTTCAGATAGGATGATCACTTTCATTTACACTTCTTTTAGCTCTTCCAAATCGAGTAGCAGGGTTACTGTTACGAGTTTGCTTTTTCTTTGATAAATCCCAAAATTGCAGCTATGCCACGATGTGACTACCAAATCCATAAGATTTTATGTGGACGTCACATCATTTCAGTGGCCCGACTGCCAGATGATTTGGCTAGGACCCAATGACATATCACTGGACAATAACCACACAATCCACAAAGCTGAACACGAGACTACTCAGAAAATAGATATTCAATATTTAACGCCGATAAATACCTAACGATGGGGAAGGCGCGAAGAATGAATTGAATGAATTAGAGTCGATCGAATGGCTTGGCTCGGCCATGCAGGCGTGGTCCCTGCTGAATATTACCCTATATCTTTTATTCATATTAAATATATTGTTCTTTCTCTAGCCTAACCTTGTTCGCCATCATGTATTGGTAGTTGTTATGATACAGTGAGTTGGTGTAGACAATGATGTGACTCCCACGTAAGATCTTATAGATTAGGCAGTTATATCATGACAAATCTACAATTTTAGGATTAGGTCTATTATTAGAGCAGTACTAATATCATAGTAGACCATAGTTCCACACATATACGTACTTGATGTCATCAAATGAATTTTCGACTGACTGAAGGGTCCTGATACTCACTGCTCAGAATTTCTGTTCTTAGAAAGTAGACTGGGTATCGAAACAAGTTGAAAAGGATTAATTTCATAAATGAAATTCTGTTGTGCTTATAACTGTAAATGCGTCTACACCTTCTTCCTTAAAAAGTACTAGAAATTTTAATTTTATTCCCGCTTTTTAGTTCAGCAGTACTGAAATTCTTTTAGAACTAAATTTACTGATGTTTTCTCGTAGCCTTTACTTCTAAGCATTTAGTTGAATTGTCTGTAGAGTAGATCACTCCATATGCTAGTTCAAGAAATCGAGTAAAATCATATGTCGTACTGAAATCCGGATTTGTTACTGAGACTAAATTGTTGTGTCTTGTGAGTGCAGATTAGACGCGTAGCGTATTTATCGATCGGATCAATGACACGTAAAACATGCACGACCGGCCTAGAGTCCTGATTGGCCCTGCTTCCCTGTCTAGCCCATTCAGTTGAGTTAAGAACACAAGTCTCAGCCTCTGAGTTTTGAATCATTATATTTCAGACATACTCTGTTTATATACCAACCAAACAGACCACATCGTACCATAAAATAGAAAACAACATTTGTACAATATTTAACAAGTTAACTAAATACTGACCAGTAGGGAATGTCCAGGGACACCATTCGGCTTAACATAATATTTATTGGTATATTTTTCCGAATATCCCAAAAAAAATATTTTGCGACACAATAATAGGAGCTGGTCCAAATTAAGTAGGCCAACCCTACGTAGTTAGGAATCTAATTTACAGTTTCCCATAGTGAGCTTAGTATGATGGTTACATAACGCGTGGGTTGCTAAACAATTGAAAGCGATTCTAAACGGAATAATTTTTTAGAAGCGGCTTGTCATCTTCTCTTCAGATAATCTAATGAAATCAGGTTTTAACTAGAAGCACTGAAGAAGTACATGAAACTTGTGGAAGTCTAAAGTATCTTGAACATAAGCGATATCTATGCAATGAACGGATTAGTAATAATCGTTATTTTGTAAGTGAACTATCCATCTGTTTTCACTGTTGAGTTATCCAAACAGATGTAACGTTAAGTGATGTGGTTACGATCGCGCTCTGTTGATACCTTGTGGACGGTTTATTACCTTTTCATATAAGGCGAGCTAGTACGCATGTAATTGAGCTTCAATAGGCCATTCTGTATAGATGCTTTTCAGTATGAAGGGAGTGAGTTAAACATTTGTATTGGCAAATGAGTAGCCGAACTGTCGTAAGTTATCCACCGCAAAATCTCCGTACAAGAATTATCTGGCACCATGATGGCAAGCACATCTAGAATCCAAGTAACAGCAGTACCTTCCTTAACTGTTCAATTAAATGTAACCTGTAAACTATATTCACAATTGAAAGCCACATATAACTGATTGAACGAGTTTCACCAGGTATATTTATCAAGGAATCTTTCAACTTTTTATTCGAAACACACAGTCAATCGGTATATATCACTTCAGAATAAGTTTCTTAGCATCCAGTCCGCTCTTGAGTTGTAAGTGAATTCAGGTTAGTTCTCGACTAACCGGAAAAAGCTCCATAGACACCATATTCTGACGTAAAAGAAACTAAATGTGTCTTATTGTTGACATTAAGCGTACTAATATTTCATCACACATCTACTGTCAGAAGTTTTGTACTTCATATTGATAAAACTACTGATGGTGTTTTTGTGGAAGCTTTCCTAAAAGTACTTCACCATATTATCAGACAAGTAGAGCGTAAGTGTTGATTTTTCTTTAAGTCCAGCAGTTAATTATTTATTCCACGGATTTAATTTAGGTGCTTAGGTTTATTATTTACGTGAAGCCCGTTTAGTCGTTGTGATAATTTTATCTTTTCATTGCAGAAAACCAAAAATATACTGCTTAACAACCCTAAGGCCATAAATTTCTTGTTGTTCAAAAGATAGCAACACATTCGTAACATTCAAACTTTATAACAGTCATATCTGCGGTGACCAAGCCTTCTCTGGATGTCATTCTTAGACCACAGACACAATAGGTATTTAAACTTAACAGTTCATAGTTTTGTAGGTATATTACAATTATACCATCTAGATTAGCCAGAATGCGGAATCTTGCTAAGAAATGGCATCCGGTAGCTGTACATTCAAAATCCAGTTTTTAAATTCGCTCAAGGATTTAAAAGTCTCTGTCTTCAATTTGACTGGTTGATTCTATTTACTTCACAGCCGTTAATCTAGTTACATTCTACCCTCGGTTTTGCCGAAATGACCAATTATGTGCAGTTCTTGCAGTCTGAAAGGCCTATGAGGGCATTTCGGGTGGCTCTTTAAATGACCTTGCAAATTTTCAACACAATTCAGTTAACCGAAAACACATATACTTGATATCAAATATGGATGAATAATTCTTAGCCGTATGACCGGGATTTAAGGTCGAGTTGGTGAGCCGAAAGTTTAGGATATAAATTCAGAGTTTCAGGTTGTAGTTTGGATTGGCTCTCCAAGCAAAGTTCGCAGACATCCCTGAACGACATTTTAGCTAGCGAGAAACCAGTGTCCGGTTACGAAACAATTTACAACGAACAAAGTAGTACAATTATGGTTAATTAACAGACTCAGCATGAATGATTAGCGTCACAAACTAACATCAGCTATTATCCGACACTTTGTCACACTTCTAGTTACGAAGTTGAGAGATTTAGGGTTGAGATTTGAGGTAAGAGCTAGATTAGGAGAACAATAACCGCACAATCCACAAAGCTGAACACGAGACTACTCAGAAAATAGATATTCAATATTTAACGCGGATAAATACCTAACGATGGAGAAGGCGCGAAGAATGAATTGAATTGACTGGAGTTGATCGAGTGGCATGGCTCGGCCATGCAGGCGTGGTCTCTGCTGAATGTTACCTTATATCTTCTATTCATATTAAATATATTGTTCTTTCTCTAGCCTAACATTGTTCTACATCATGTATTGGTAATTGACGCGATACAGTGAGTTGGTGTAGTCGATGGTGTGACTTCCACGTAAGATCTTATAGATTAGGCAGTTATATCATGACAAATCTACGAATTTAGGATTAGGTCTATTATTAGAGCAGTACTAATATCATAGTAGACCATAATTCTACATTGGTGAGCCCAACTAAAGAAACGCAACCTGTTATTGTTAATCCTTATTTCCACCCTAACCTTCTCAATCGGTTTTTTTTATTTTTGTAAACCCAGTATTCTAATAGTCCTTTCACTGATGGTCACATATATTATCGTAATGTTATATCTATAAGTTCACATAACTTACTAGCTCAATCGATAATAAAAGTTGATCATCTATATCAACTAATTAGCTTTGATGGTTCGTTAACAAGCTTTAATAGCATTTACCTGCTTCAGCGACATAGACTTGTTTAAACATCAAGCTCTAGCAAATATGACCTGTTAATAGCATAAATATACATTGACTAACAATGCAATCAAGGATTGAATAGTTATCTAGATGTAATTCTTAGTGTTCCTTTGCTTAACACCTCATCCTGTTTTAAACTATGTACTATCCTGTAATATCTTTTCTTCCGACCACTGCTTGCCGAATTTCATATTCTCGAGTTCCATTGCCAAACAACAAGGATGACACTTCTCCAAAAAAATACTTTGTTCTGATCAGAGCGAGTCCCAAATACCTCAACAGTATCAAGCACCCTGTAAGTGATTGCCATACTGCATGTTTTATTCTGGATGCTTTTGGAGCACTACTACTCACGAATGGCGTTATATATGTCGTCCACTGAATAATCTATTTTTCAAAAATAATCAAGGCGAGTTCAACTATTTTACTGGATTATTTTTTTTTGTACTTAACATGTATATATTTTCCAGTTGCTTTTGCCACATATTTGTAAGTGTCCCTAGGCTAAATGCAGTAACTTCTTATGGAATGTTTATAACGCGCCATATTCCTGCCTGAAGTTTCATAAGCAGTCTTAACTTTAAAATTATTTTTCTGGTCATGTTCATTATTTTTAAATTTTTATATACGTCAACAACCTTCATGTTAACCTGGCCCGTACATACGTTTTACTATATCCTCATATCTTTTGAATTTAGAAATCATCTGAATCGCCTTTAACATTTATCAATAAACCCATCATAGTCGTTGTTGCTAATCGTATTTGGGTTTATGGATTGGTTTGTCATATTAGCAGCCTAAAATGCGAACATAGTTTAGATAATAAGATTAAAAATTTAGGTACTATTAACTGCACTAGTAAAATAACTAAATCCCTAGGTGGCTGTTGGCTAAACAAACGTTTAAAATCAAAACTCTGTAGCCTACTAGAATTAACACTAAACGAATCTT